CCGGAGCTCCGAACCGAGCTTGCCGGCCCTGTTTCACTGATTCTAAGACACATTTTCGCCTCGTCTTTGGCGCTGGGACTGCCTCGCAGCGGCCACGCTCAGAGCCTGACAGGCCACACCGCTTTCTCACCAGCGCATCCCGCAAGCTGCGTGGTCTGAGATTTCACGAGGTGCGGCACGCTGCCCCAGCGACCCGCTTCACCCCCGTGCCTCAGGGTCCTCCTTGCGAAAGGGGTTAGTAATGCCTAGCTCATCGCGTCGTTGTAGGTGGCGAACGAGGTGGTCGTGTCTGTTAACTACGGCTGCGCAGCAAATTGTCGCAAACTTACTGGCCTGAAACAACACGCGTTTATTATCTCATGAGGGCCGGGAGTCCAGGCACCGCTTAACTGCGTCTCAGCACAGGGTCCCAGGCAGAAACCAAAGTGTCACCAGGGCCGAAGCCTCACCCAGCGCGCGGGCCCATCTCCCAAGCTCACTCACGTTGTTGGCAGAATGCACGTGGCCAGCTGCATATCAAGTACAGACGGAGCCTGTGCTCACGTGACCTGGTGTGTGGTCCCCTCCCCGCCAGGGTCAGCCCCGAACGCTCCTCCTGCTCCCGTCTCCCGGGGGGCCGTGCGTGGACGGGTCCTTTTAGGTGAGGGTGGTAAGCAGGTACGGTAGCTTCCCCCCCACCAGGCCCAGGAATTAGCATTTCAAGCGGCGCCACAGGTGACTCATTGACGGTCTGCCAATCACTGTCCTGCCATGAAAACAGCCTGCGGTGACCAATGCGGACAGACTTCCTGAAGTTCCTCCACTCGCGGAAGCTTCCGGGGCCCTCGTCTGCCACACGGCGCACGTGAACGTGAACTCGTGTGGCGTGACCGTGTTGCGCTGGCTTTGCCAACGTGGCTTTCGCGTCCCCGAGGCTCGCGGTGAGCGCTGGGCCGGCCGGCTCCAGAAGTCCTCGTGGGGCTGCGGTCTGCTCGGTGCCGATTTCCATCCCCTAACATCGAGGGAGCGTCGCCGTGTCTTAATTTTCTTGGCTCTCTCATTTTCTTTACTGGAAAAGACGTGTCCATTAGCTTTCAGCCTCTCATGCCAAATAATCCAAACCCACTGTCACTCGGCAGGGACGAACGTCATCGGGAGCGAGCAGCCCCCTTCCCAGTACCTGGCCGACGTGGACACCTCCGATGAAGACAGCCGCTGGGGTCTCAGGGCGGCCTTTCGCCATTCCGAACGGAGAGGCCGGCCGCGGCCCGAGAGGCAGGTACGGTGGCTGCAAACACCTTGTTGCTTCTTGGGTGGGGCCTTCCACCTTAACACCACGGCGGGCCAGAGAATCAAGCTTTCAGTTTTTGAAAATCATAAGATTGTACAACCCACTGAACAGAGATATTAAGTGTCATCAAAATACACATATTTTTTAATCAAAGTAAAACTCACGTAAAATCACCCATTGTAAAGTACACAGTGCAGACGCACTGAGCACATTCGCAGTGTGGTGCAGCCACCACCTCGGTTTGTCCCCAGACATCTTCATCACCCCACAGGAAAACTGGTCCCCGTTACCAGCTGCTCCCGGTCCCCCGGCCCCCGGCCCCCTCCAGCCTGCCCTCTGTCTCTGTGGCTTTGCCTCTTCCGAGCATTTCGTATGAACGCGGTCGGGCAACCTGTGACCCTCCGCGTCTGGCAGCCTCACTCAGCAGCATGATCTGGAGGTTCGTGCACATTACAGCAAAAACTTCACTCTCTGGATGAAAATATACACTTCGTAGTCTGTCAAGTATTACGGCTTCTACAAGAGGAAAAAATACTCTATGGTTTTATACTGTTAGCATGTATAGGTTTTGAGGAGATTGAACTCTGGGTACTTGAGACCCGTAAATCAGTGAGAATCACGCCGCGGATGCTGGTGATGCAGCAGCTCATCACGAGATGCCGTCCAGGGTCCCCTCTCTGAGTCTTAACCACGACCCCGGTGACAGATCGCTGACCTAGATCCCAGCAAGCACGTTTTAGTGGGGGACAGCAGTCGTGTTCCACACGGGAACACCGGGACCGCCAGGGTGACACAGACTCGCCGATGTCTCTGGCGGGTGAAGTCGTGGGACTGGGGCCGTTTCTAACTGATGACTCGAGGCGTAGAACCCAGACGAGGGTGAGCAGGCCCCGCTCCGGGTGCGGAACCCCGAGCTTCGCTGCTCCGAGGCTGGTCTCATGCACATCTGCAGGAGCCTGGATGCGTGCATCCTCCGCACGCCGGTGGGTGACACAGAGCTCCCCTGGGACTCCTCTGGGAGACTTGGAGGTGCACTTGTAGAGTCCTCCCCGCCTTCAGGGCACCCATAGACCAAGCTCTGAACTGTCAGATGCAGAGACTGACCAAATGTTGAGCAGGCTAGAGACCTCCCGTTGCGCAGGGCACAGACCTCCCCAGGCTGGATGGATACTTCCCTGTGGGCGGCACCTTGGCTGGCAGATAAGCTCCCAGCTCTCTAGTCAGAAGACAGTGGGATGAAGACTAGAATTAAATTATCTATTTTCAGTGTTTTAATTTAGCAGTTTTAGTAACTTCCAGTAAAATACATATCTGCCCAGCTGACGCCAATCGCCCTTTATGCCTCCTTGCATCGTTCCGCATCCCGTGTCTGGAAGTCTTGTTCTTCATTTGTGACTGTTGACTATTTCTTTCGACTGACATCTCGCCTGGAATGTGTCCCGCGCATCTGCGTGTCGGGGGACGGGGCGGCACAGAGAGTGGCCTCCGAATGTGACGTGGTCCCGTGCAGCCGGGAGAACCGGGCGGCTCTCCCAGGGTCGTTGTGAAGGGGCCCCCAGCTCCCTCAACCTCTGCCCGCTTAGAGCAGCGTTTCCAAACCCAGGCTCACAGCCAGGCCCTTGGGGGCCAAGAGTTCTCGAGGACAGTGTTGCACCGGGGTGATCTGTTGCCTGTCCCTGCATTTGTACCCACGGTTAGGACTTTCCAGGTGCAGAATATTCGGGAAAGGCTTTCTGTAAATAATCACTTAGGCCAAGGGAAGACCAAAGACAGTACAGCACATGGCACGAAGAACGTTCTAGGGCCAGGACGGAGGAGGAGGCAGGAACTGGCATGCGCCCCCAGCCATGATGGGGAGTGAGCCCCTCACTCGCAAGAGCTGGCCCCGGGGCTGTCGACATTGTGCTCGGGCTGCAGATACTGACTCGGTTTCCCCACAAGACCCTCCTCAGTGCCAAATTGTGGTTGTTTTAATCCACGGCCTATGCCTGCACTGCATTTGCAAATTGTAAAATTTGGTCGTGTTACACACGAGTCGAAAGCACCAGGAGGTCACACCAAGTTTTACGCCCGTGCGTGTCTGAATCACATCACAGCGCCGACAGCTGGCACGCACAGGGGCCAGACGGCACCGCCAAAGCACCTGCCGCTTTGGGCAGACGGGACAGGGCACAGCCAGCTTCGTGGAGGTGACTCGTGAGCACCGGAGAAGCAGGTGTTCCGTGGGGCCGGCAGTTCTCAGTACCAGATAGGAAGCCAGGGCTGCACGGGAGCTGCCGTGTCCACGCAGGCCTCCCGCCTCCTGAGCCCGGCTGCGGCCAGTGCCTTGCCCAGAGAGCAGCCTGGGCCCGGCGCCCGCTGCCCCAGCTCCCGCCCACCCCCACCCCACCCTCAGGTGAGAACGACCCCGGCTGTCCTCGTGGCTGTTCTTTCTCTCTGCTCCGAAGGTGACATTTCACGATGACAGCGCCGGGCGTTGGCGGATTGGGCTATTCCTCTCCCGGTCTGAGGCAGCGGCCACGTGTTCCGCACAGGCCATCGGCTGGGCACTCTCCCCCAGGGGTATCGATCGCTGTCCCTTTAGACTCTGAGTGCGCCCAGAGGTCTCAATTACCAGCAGCCTCTCGAGGGCCACTCCTGAGCAAAGCCCTCACGGTGACTCTGCTCGGCTTCGCTCTTCTGCGGGCGGGTCTGCCCACTCAGGGGCCTCGGCGCCGTGACGACCGAGCTTACCACCCACCAAACGGCACGGAAGCGCCTTGCCACCCGCGGGCACCCCGACCCCTTGTGAAACAAGCTGGGCTACACGTGAGGTGATGGCAGGAAGCGGCAGCTGCCGGCTCGGGGGAGACAGGAGCCTCGATGTCCTCGTGTCCCGTCTGGGGCTAACAGACTCCGTGACTCAAGAGCCTGGTGACTCAAGGGATGAGGAAGTTGTCCATTCAGTCACCTCAGGTTGGCTGGTGTGCCTCCTGGCCCACGAGTGACCCAAAGCTCCCCCAGACAATGACTTTCAGTCTCATCAGCCTGGCGTGGTTAACTCACGCCTTCCTGTGCTGATCGGGATCCGAGGGACAATGGCTGCCCGCGGGACTGACACGTCACCGGCCTTTCGGGTCCAGCCAGCTTCCTTGTCGTGCTGAGTTTGTCACCCATCCTGCCTCATTCACCCCACAATGTCCCCTCTCCTGGCACCGCTCTCAGCTCTTGCCTGGTGTTCCAGAACCTTGGCGAGAGAAAACAGGTGTGTCACAGGTGCCCTGCCCAGGTCGTGCCCTGAGTGGTGGCCTTAGTGTTCCGTCCACTGCTTGGGAATTTGGTGCTTCCGAGGTGGCGGATGCCAGGTTCTGCTGGTGGCAGTGGGCTGTGTCCCCAGCCACCGTTTCTGTCCCTCTGCTGCAGAGAGAGTAGCACATGTGGGTGGTCGAAAGTCCGCTGACTCGGCTGAAGAACACGGCCATGCTTCCCTCGGCCAAGTTCACGCCGGGGCCAGGCAGGTCACAGCAGGGGGAGGGGACAGGGCCCTGGAGCCCCTGTGGTGAAGGAGGTTGAGGCGCCGATGAGGCTGGCGCCGAAGGCCCTGGGGAGGTCTCGCGGATCTTGGACTCCGGCTCCGCGTGCGGGGTCAGACGGCTGGCAGGTTACCCGCACAGGCCCCGCGGGCTGGCTCTGTCCAGCCCCTTGCCATCTGCCCTCCCTTGAGCTTGGGCATCTGTGGGTCCAGCAAAAGCGGCGACAGAACTCAGAGGGGGTGCGTGTGTGACAGCCCCATGTGTGAGAGGATGTGACAGAGAGCAGTGCTGAAGCTGGGGACCCTCCCTGGCCCCGCAGCCTCTGGCGGGGGCCAGGCCATCAGAGCCGTCTCCCTCTGACCAGGTTTGTGACTGTGCTCAGCACAGCGAAGCAGCCTCCCAGAGAGAACACAGGGCACACCCTGGCCTAATGCACGTGCGTGTGTGCCTGTGTGCATGTGTGTGCGTTGTGTACATGTGTGTGCGTTGTGTGTGCGTGCATGCGTCTGTGTGTGCGTGTGTGCATGTGTGTATGTCTGTGCATTGTGTGCATGCGTGTGTGCATGCATGTGCGTGTGTATGCATTGTGTGTGCATGTGTGCATCTGTGTGTGCATGTGTGCATCTGTGTGTGCATGTGTGTACGCATGTGCGTTGTGTACGTGTGTGTACGTGTGTGCGTGTGTGCATGTGTGTGCATGTGTGCATGCATCTGTGTGTGTGCATGTGTGTGCAGGGACCCTCAGACGCTGCTGGGGGGCTGTAAACTGGTGCAGCTGCTGTGGAAAACAGTGCGGGGTTCCTCAAAAAATGAACAATAGAATTACCATGTGACCCAGCAATTCTGCTTCTGAGTATTGATCCAAAGAAAACTAAAACACTAATTCGTATACAGCCCTATTTACAGTCGCCAAGATGGGGACGCAACCTAAGTATTCTTAGGAAGACAGATAGATAGAGAAGCGGTGGTAAATGGTATACATATATGCAATGGAATATTACTCAGCCGTGAAAAAGGATGACATCTTGCCATTTGTAACGACATGGCTAGACCCAGGGAGTATTGTGCTGTGTAAAATAAGTCAGACAGAACAAGACAAATACTGTATGATTTCACTTGGGTGTGGCATCTAAAAAAAAAAAACAAAAAAAAACAAAAAACAAAATAAAAAAGAAACAAACTCATAGATACGGAGAACAAGCTGATGGTTGCTGGGGCGTGGGGAGGAGTAGGGGTTTGGGCGGAAAAGGGGAAGGGGGTTAAGAAGCACAGATTTCCAATTATAAAACAAGTCAGGAGGACGCAAAGCACAGCACGGGGAATGGAGCCGGTAACATAAAAAAAAAAAAAAAACAAAATAAAACAGAAACAAACTCATAGATACGGAGAACAAGCTGATGGTTGCTGGGGCGTGGGGAGGAGTAGGGGTTTGGGCGGAAAAGGGGAAGGGGGTTAAGAAGCACAGATTTCCAATTATAAAACAAGTCAGGAGGACGCAAAGCACAGCACGGGGAATGGAGCCGGTAACATTGTAATAACTACATCTGTTAACACAATAGGCAGTTACTAGACTTAAGTTACTAGACTTATTGTGATTGGCGACCTCTGTGTACGATATTCAAATGTTGCTATACAAATGTTGCTTCACTGTGTTGTGCACTTAGAACTAATATAATATTGTATGTCGACTATAATTAAAAATAAGCAATTGGTGGGTCTTAGGTGGCCCTGGGTGCCATCGGGATCACCAGGACCGGCCCGCCCTTCAGAGCTCGGTTCTGGAGGGCCGGCTCGGGCCCAGCATGGGCACTTTGGACGAGCTTGCCCGGGGAATGGAGGAGACCAAGGCTCCAGCAGGAGCCCGGGGCGTGTGTGGTCAGGGCCGCTGAGCACGGTGCTGACAGATGAGCAGCTGCAGGCAGGTCCCCTGGCTCCTTCGTTCCAGCATCCGGCCGCCAGCGAGCCCGCCGCCGCCGACGCAGAGGAGGACACCCTGAAGAGGAAGCTGGAGGAGCTGACCGGCAACATCAGCGACCAGGGCGCCTCGTCCGAGGAGGAGGGCGAGGACGACGGGGCCCAGCTGGACAGGAGCACCCCCGTGGAGGACTTCCCCAGGGCGGCCTCAGAGGTGAGGCCACCCCAGCAGTCTTGGAAAGACAAGGGCCAGAAGCCCAGCCCCGGGCAGGCAGCCAACCCCTGGTGGGCACGGAGGGCCCCTGACGAGGGCCACACAGGGTGCCAGAGCCCAGCTGACCGCCCGGCAGACCAGCCTGGGGAGCGAGCAGACGTGAGTGTCATAAGGATGAGGCCCTTGCTGGTGACAGCCTGCATCTCTCCATGGAAGGTCACGTCCAGTGCTCCCCTTTCCTAGGTGCGCCCAGACGCAGGCCAAACGCGCAGATGGGAAAAGAGTCCCCCGGGCCCTCGGGACCCCGTCCAGCCCTCCAGGACCGCGGACGAGGAGCTGTCAGCGCTGGAGGACAGGGTGGCGATGACGGCCTCCGAGGTCCAGCAGGCGGAGAGCGAGGTAGCCCCCATGGCCTCAGAGAGCACGCGGCAGGGCCCTGAAGGGCGGACCACAGGGGACAGTCCCTCACGGGGCTCAGGAACTTGGGGGTCCCTGTGGGAACAGTGCCCACCACACCCTGTGCCTGTCTGTGTCCCATTCGCCATAATAGGCCAGGCAGGGTTCGCAGCCACAGCAGAGGGATGCTGGCACTCGCCACTCCCCCTCCCATGAGGAGAGGCTCCCGAGAAGCAGACTTAGATTAGGGGAGTGTCCTGGGGTTCAGGACCACCTTGGGGCCAGAGGGTCATCCTTTGAGCCCAAGCGTGAGCCCAGAGCTTGCGTTTGGAGGGGCGTGTCAGGGGTATACAAAGGTCAAAGGACAGGGACAGCCAAGGTGACCAGGCTCAGATCTGCCCTCATCCTGGGGACCCACTGAGAAGAGACGGTCTGCTCCTCAGACTAGAGGGGAGCCAGCACCCACCGGTGGCCCATTCCCACGTCCCTGCTCCTTAGCAAGGGTCCACGGTCCCCAGGAGGAGGGGCAGGTCGCCAGAGTTGACGGGCAGCTGAGGATGCTGCATTCATTGATTCCTCTTACATGGCAAACATGTGTCGGACACCAAAGACACAGCTGTGACCAGCTGAGACCGAGCCGCTGCCTGCACGGAGCTCGCACGTTCAGGGGGAGCACAGAGACCAACGCCAGGGGACATTTCAGATCCCAAAGAGATCTGTGCAGACAGGAAGTGAAGGACACCCCACAGGGCTCTCAGTGGGGTGCTCAGAGGAGGGGCTCAGGCAGGGACGTTAGGGGGCAGCACGTGCAAGGGCCCCGAGGTGTGGGGGACTCGTGTGTCACGTGCAGGAATGAGCAGCGAACCCCGAACCCTGGAGGCTGGCGCGGGTGAGGGGAGGCACCCGAGAGGCGGGGTTTGCAGAGGGCCCGGCGGGTCACAGGGGAGAATTTGGGGAACCGTCGGAGGGATCTGAACAGGGGTGATGGGGCCAGGTTTCCTTTCTCAGAAGCTTCCGCTGGCCTCTGTGGGGGGAGGTGAAAAGGGGGCGAGGGGTGAAAAGGTGGTGCCAGTGGGGAAGGGGGGTCGGAAAGGGGGGCAGAGGGCCA